ATGTTCGCGGTTATATGTAACATGAGCGGCACAATAGGCGCAATCGTTTTCTCACATAGGCGCACCCGACGCAAATTTGCATGTGTATGTGGGGGGCGGAGGACTTAAAATGTATTTTTTTCTTTAATGCTTATTTTTTATGATTCTTTAATTTTTGTATTACTTTTTTTTTTACACAACTTTATTGCTATCACATGGGGGGATAAGAAGCCCCCTATGCGATAGCCAATTTACATGACAGGTCCTCTTTATGGAGACATCAGGGGTCTCCAAGACCCCTGTCACCTAGGGACGCCCAGAGAAGCTGATGAAGCAGAGATCTGCTTCTTCAGCTTCTGTAGCTGGAAAGTGACACTGAATGCAGGAAGTGATGTAATATACTTCACTTCCTGCATTCCGGGACTGAAGAGTAGATCAAAAGGTAGATCGTGTAGTGATCTCCTGTCACAGAGCCGTGCCGGTCCCGGCCGCATCTGATCTTGGGACCAACAACTGCAGCGACAGCTGCTGGTAATACAAGCGATCGGGCGTCTCGAGACGCTCCATCGCTTGAATGTAAAGGTGCACATACACTGCACGATTCTCGTACGAGAATCGCGGGAAATTCCGCGATCGTACGAGAATCGTGCAGTGGGAATGAAGGCGTGCGGCCGTTTCTACTGTACGGTCGCACGTCTTTTGTCTAAGGAGCATGCCAGAAAACCAGCCGAAAATCTTCTTTGATAAATTCCCCTCAATGTATCTCAAATGTCACCAGCACACCAATGGATAATGTTCCAAAATAAATTCTTATTTATTCACGCATATTGTCCCATCAAAATGCAACATTTCGCGTCCACGCAAGGTCCCACTCATCAGGCTTAACATGACCAGTAGGATATAAACAAGCCGCTTTAACACCTGGAAATTTGCAGATGTCCAACAATATACAAGAAAAAAAAAAAAAGATGGAAAATGAAGATAAAAAGGAATAAATAGCGCCACAGCAGCCAAAAGGAAAAAATACATTACAAACCCCAAGCAGAGTAATGTGGGAAATGTTTTTCTTGTATAAACAGGTTTCTTTCTGTATAATTTAATACACCCTACATTACCCAGGGCAGTTTTCAGACTTTCTCAAGCTTATGAATATTCTATGAAATTCAGCCCTATGATAAACCTTTTCATCTCTCCGCGCTGCAAAGTTACACTGTAGCTTCAAGAACATGGTTTTGCAAACAACTAACGTGTGAAAACAGAGGAAAGTTCTAGCTGTAATGTCACAGATCCAGGACCGCCTTACCATGTTCTAGAAAACAGACCAGATGTTCATTTGTCAGAGCCACCCGCCTAAGCTAAGTATCAAACACATACTTCTCGGACTAAACACAAAAAGCTCATATTTAAAAACACACAAACAACATCACATGCAGACATTACTTTTCCCAGTTCGAAAATACTTTGAAGTCAAGTAGTGTCTTCCCTTCTGTCATGTCTACGCAGTTAATGAGAGGTCTGGAGAGGTCACAAGACTTCTAGACAATTCAAGAACAATGCCAGCATTTATATGAAGTGAAAGCATTCATTGAGTTTCTAATGCTATCCAACGATCTATTGGAAACTGTCACTTCGGCAAAAATCTGCAGAAAGGTATGACTTGCAGGGGCTTCTGCACATACCTGCAGCACCTTTCAGAAGCCCATCAAAGTAAAGGGCTAATATGAATGTGGGACGGGAGAGATCAGGAAAGCTCAGGCACTTCCCAGAGCTTTGAGTGTCAGAATTGTCCTGGCATTCAGGCAAACAAGGTATTGAAAACTCCTCAAGTACAATAATATCAAGATGAAAATGGTAATTATTCAGCCAGTAGGCTATGCTCCTAGCATGCATCTCAAAGTGTCAATTCAAGTGTGTACCGTTCACTCTTCAGTACGTGTCGCCAATTATAGTACAATCTCAAATGAGGAGTCATAAGGTGTAAAAAGAATGAGAGATATGGTTTGCCAACTTGTTCATGTAACTACAATTAACATTCTTGGGTTGTTTCTGGCAACAGAGAGGCTTATGCCTTACTAAAACAATGTCAAAGGCATATCAACGTATCTCATAACTACGCACATACTGCTGGAACCTGACCGCCATCTTCTAGATTTGCCTAAGAGCATGAAAAGGAGAATGTTCTCCTTCAGGTCCTCTTCTGCGAATTGACGCAGGTAGTGGACGGGTGCAATAGCCAGCCTGCTATTGGCTATAGATATTTTAAAAAGCCAATTGCAGGCTGTCTATTGTTCCCAGCCACTGGATGGGGACTTGACATCAGCTTTCTACTGCCGGCAGAAGAGGGAACAATGGGGGCAGCAGAGAAGGAATGCAAAAGGCAGAGGTCTACTCCCTGCTGGGCACTGGTTGCAGCACTATGTTCCCTCTGATCGAAGGGGACACACAGCATGCAGCGACTCCCAGTGAGAAGGAGAACGGAGGAGCAGTGCAGCGGAAAGGGGGTGGTTTCAACTAATCGATAATGAAAATCGTTGACTACGATTCTCATTTTCATTCAGTTGTTGCAGCCCTACCTAACTAAACAAACTTAAGAGAGAAGGCGATTGATTACTATGGGCGCGGCTCTAGTTTTGATAAAGTCGCCCCATTGGGGTTTAAAGTTTTTGCAATATTTTTTTTCAGTTAATTTTGCAAACTAGGAATTTTAAGTGGTAAAATGTTTGTGTTTTAACTGTGTATTTAGCAATGTGTCTAAAGTTTAGATTTACAGGCTTATGTCACCACTTAAGCGAGCAACACAACTTTAGATTTATCTTGTTCAGCCCTGTGGGCAAAAGAGTAACGGATTCTCTCAACCACACTAAACAGCATGAATGAATCTCTCCTGTTGGCTACTGTATTCAGCAGCCAGTAGGACCTGTGCCTGCTGAATAACTGAAAAGTAACTGCATTAGACGGGATGCAGTTGCTGCTTAGCTAACCATTTTCCGTGCCGCTCCTTTGACAAAAGTCCAGGTGTGTGGAACTCCTTTCGCCCGATACATGGGACATGCAGTTCTGGGCGCCAGGCAGGTGTCTCTTGTACATTTAGCCCTGCTTTGGGTAAGTAGGGCTAAATGAAAAAGTGAGGGAGCCGGCGCTTGTTGTGTACAAGTGATCTTGGCTGCAGCTGCTGAGATGACTTGTGATAAGCCTGCTGGCTTCCTGATTGGACAGACCGGCTCCTGAATTACATACGAATTTGTCCACCTCAGATTTATAAATGTGGGCAAAATTAAAAATAAAATATACAGAGTACATCTCTGCAGTGCAGCCACATTTCCGCGTGTTTGGTCTCTAAAAAATACTACCTCCAAATACAGAAAATGCTTTTTGATCTGCCAGATATAGTGTGTTGCTAATTTCCTGTCTAAGCGGACAACACAGTGCCTGTGGTGCACAGAAATCCCAAGCGGTGTTGTCCAGATTGCCTCTGATCTACCACTCGCTGGACCCACAACTCCAAAGCTTGGCTGAAAAACTCCCATTGTGAGAGTTTCCCCATCCTGCCTAGATTTTAGGACAGACCATATACATTGGGCACTCATTCCCCAGCATCAAGGCAGCGATCGCTCTCCCTCGTTCAAAACCAGTGCATGCACAGATGATGGTCTACAGCTTTTTTAATGATACTATTCATTTAGATACAGAAGTTGAAGGGACACTTCAGTTAAGCCACAAGATACATACAGGAAGCACAGCCTACCTGATCACTACTAGTTTTTCATCCAGGGATTGCGAGCATGTACCAGTTCAATTTTGTTGGTTATCAGACCACCAAAGAACCTCAGATTTGCAAACCCATTGCAGGCTCCTTTCTGACAGACATACAGGAAGTTTGAAGCAAAATAGTTTATCACTGAAGTGGATTGTATGCAAAGGGAGAGAAGGTTACGCAGCACAGGCTTCAGGAACTACAACCCCAGTGAAGAGTGAACCTGTCAGGTTCTTATTGTTGTCTGTGTCCCTGTTAGGGAGATTCGCCCTACCCGATTTGTCCAGGCGACCGTTGTCACTAAAAGTGAAAGAAAATGCCAAATTTTGGGTGGTCTTCAGAACAGGAATAGCAAGTAAATCTTCCAATGGAGACACTAGTTCTGGTGACCCAGCTGATCACCAAGGATTTCCCTGGCTTTGGAAGGATGTCCTCTCACTTACCATTGCGGATATCGGACAGGAAGCGAAGGGAACTCTTGGCAATGGGACACAGATGGCAAAAAAAAAAAAGGCCAACAAAAAGGTTATAACTAGGGGATGCACCGATACCAGTACTAGTATCTGTGCCGAGTATTTGCCCAAATGCTCCGATGCCTAGCCCGATACGTCCTGTATCAGGAAGGCTGATGGCTTACACGCTGTCTGGCTTTCTGATTGGCCGGGAAGCCGCACCCATGCGACGAGAGAGCATGAAGGCGCCTTCCCGGCCAATCAGAAAGCCGGGCAGCATGTAATGACTCGCTGCCCGGCTTTCTGATTGGCCGGGAAGCATGCTCCATGCTCCCTCGTCACAGTGCTTTCTCGTCACATAGAGATGAAGCATGGGGACAGCCTCCCTTTTAACCCCTTCATGACTGAGGCCTTTTTTTCATTTTTTGTACCCATGTTATATTCCACATTTTAGGCCTGAAAATTACTTAAACCCTGCAGAAGCGATCTGGCGACAGGTAAGTCGCCAGGATCGCTTCTGTTGTAAAGCCGACAGTCGGCTCTACAAGTTTAAACAGACTCCCGGCGGCAAAAGTCACCGGGAGTCTGTTTAAACAGCCCCGATGCTGACGACGTACACTGTACGTCGTCAGTCACGAAGGGGTTAATCGGGATCCAGGTGGCGAGTCATTACATGCCACCTGGCTTCCTTAACCTCCTTGGCGGTATTCCCGAGTGTGGCTCGGGG